TCCTTTCAAAACCTGAATGAATTAATAATAATTAATTCCCTAAAAATTAAGTAATCAAGTCATTACAATCTCCTAAATTTAGTAACTTCTTATACATGCGCATACCAGTTTCTGATCAAAATCAGATAAAACTATAGCTTGAATGTGCCTTCCTACTAGCAGTAGAAAGTGTTAGTAGAGGGTACACCTTTTCTGACGAAGGAATCTCAGATTAGCAACCCCATATAAATGGCACCAGAATAAATCGGTCTGATCTTGGGCGAAGAAATCTCCTTTTTCAGCACTGTGTAGGTGATCTGAGCGATGCTCCTCATTTCACTGATTTAAGGCCTTATTATGCGTTACGTATCATTGTATTCATATTGATCTGCTCATGTAAAACATTTACGTCAAATTAATGGTGTTATTTTAGCGTAGCTAACTATGAATTCACCATTGCCTGTGAAGTGAATGTGCTGTTTTGATTTGTGAATGAAGTTGTATGGGAGAGCCCACTGTTCACATGTCACCAGCCAGCAGCCACAGGGGGGTGGGGCAGGGACCCTTCCAGAGGATCACTGCAGACACACACCGTGTGGCCCCACAGACCCCAATGAGCTGGCCAGAGGCAACACATCTGGCAACCTAAATACTGCAGAGATCCTGAGGACATCAAAGGAACTGATCCTGAGAGTGTCCTCACCAACAGCTTAAACAAGCCATCATAAAGGAATTCTCAGACCCAGAATCTGAACATGGACTGATCACTGCCCTAGACACCAAACAGGGCCGGCATGAAACTCCCCATGGTTACTACCACAGACTTCGACAAGCTTACTTCGGAGCTCGCAATTACCCTGGGATGGCGGAGGACAACACCAGCTTCAAGAGCCTTTTCCTCCGAAACGTCTATCCTATTGTAAGTCACCATTTAGGCATTATAGCCTGCCACACAATGCCTATTCAACAACTGTGTGACCTGACACAGAAGGCCTTTAACAAGCACAAGGCCTCCACTAAAGGTGTTTGTAAGACCCCACTGATTCTGAACTTTACAACTCAGAATCCAAAGCGGGCACCAGAAGGCACCCAGCATTGCCCCAATGCAAAACCCTTATACTGAAAGGCCCTAGCCAGAAGAGGACAGAGCCATCACCATGGCAAGAGACCCAGGTTCCAGACCAACCACTGGGAAAAGCCATGGAAAAGGGCATCCTCATCCTGCAAACACCACGGTATGTCCAACAGCAGTCCACCACAACATCCTCTTCCACACCCTTCACACAGGTGCCGAACGGAGGCTACACAAGGACAGCTGGACACGCCTACTTCTGAGTTACAGGAGCTGCTGACACTTGC